GACCTCCCCCTTCCCCCCCAGCACTCACCAGCAGCAGCCCCACTGCCCCTCCGGCTGCCATAGGAGCGCCCGGCATGGCGCGACTCAGCTGCGAACTCCACTCCTCTCGGCCCATCCTTCACGGGGAGGTACCTCCGCCGCTTTATCCGCCCCGGGGCGGCCCGTCCCCGCCCCGACTCCCACCCCCACCGTTCGGGGCCGTCAGAGCTCCTGCGGAGGAGAAGCGAGCCCACCTGAGAGCCTGTGCCCCAGCGGCGCGCTAACCGCCCGCTGGAGCGGGGGAAACCACGCTGTGCCTTAGGGACGCGCCCCGGGAGGAAACCACGCTCGGAAATGGCCTGATTTGTGTCTCGCCACCCAGAGCTCACATGCTATTGCGAAAGGGCGACTCGCTGATCACAGAAAAGAGGCGCAAAGGTCGCATGGAGAATTCTTACAGAAGCACACAAACCGGGGACATAACGGGGTTTTCTAAAGCCCTGGAACGGTTCTCAACTATTTCACTAGCAGCTATTTCTCCTAGAGAAGTAACGACATCTCTGACCGTGATTTTCCTCACCACCATTCATCCTCCGCATGCACCTAACTGGCATGTAGGAACATTCACTTCCAGATGTTGAGATTGGATTAAATTAACGGCACAAAGATTTACAGAATCTTCCTTTTTGGATTAATTTTTAATCCCCTGCGGCAGCAGCAGCAAGCGTTGAAAACTCCTGCTCTGCTGATGCACAGTTAGTTTATGTAGGTTAATACTTTCTTTCATTGAACTGCTCCTCTCATGGTAACAGCGTTTGTTTTATTAAACTGCAGTAAGAAGTCCTAGTGAAATCCCTGTGGGTTCGTAGTTTGGTAAAATGGAAATATCCAAAGAATTTCAAGCATTCCCTTTACACCTCCCAAATGCACTGTTCGGCACTGCTTCTCTGTGGTTAAGGTGGGTTCCAGGATTTTATTTTTTTTCTGTAACTATTTGTCAAACCAAGAACACATTTGTATCCAAGAGGTGTAAACATCCCTCCAGGAGAGAGGCTCCTGTCAGTAAGTCCAAAGCTGGTCCCGCAGGGGCTGCGCGCTAAGGCAGGCTGTGCTGACAGGGCAGAGGTGTGCTGACTTGCTGAAGCATTCAAAAGAAGATTTAGGCAGGACATTAGCAGATGCGTTTGCACAGCATTAGGTGTGAATGCTTTCAAGGTGCCTAAGGGACCTTGCGTTGCCACAGGCGTTATTAGCAGCTGGACACTCTCCCATCAGCAGGGGCCAGCGGGACCCTCTCTCATCGAGTTTTACACTCCATGGATCACGGGCCAGACTTCCTCAGAAAGCAGTGACTAAGACAACATCCTTCTAAAAGGCACCCAATTTGGATCGATAATACTGACGTTCTTCAAGGATGATTCCTCGAGGATGAAGAATCCTTTGGTTTTCCAGAGACTTTTGCTAATGTTAACGAAGTCATTCTCAGCCTTTATTAATTGTGATCTATTTCTTGAATGTTTCCTTCCAGATGCAGCTCTTATCCTGTCTGTTCATGCCTGAAAGCTGTGGTTCTCTCCATGGAACTACCTTTTCCCTGTCATCAAATCACCTCCTTAATCTAAAGGTTTTCTTAAGTCCAAGGCAGGTCTGTACATCTACGTGTGCAACAGTGAAAATCAAGGCAACCACTTTTCTTTCTATTTTAAGGAAGTTTTGAGGATATCAAAATGTTATTGCTGTTCTAACTCATGGCCTATGTCTGAGATTCTTGAAGGTCTTTTCTTGTAGATTTTTCTCTAAAAATAATGTCTGAAGACTTGATTATTTGGAAAATGCTGTAAAACACAAACCCGAGTTCAAACACACAAATAATTTGTCAGATAGACTGCCGCTGAAAGTCGTGTGTAATTTTATTTCAACATATCAAGCACAAACAGGTTTCCCCTAACTGGGAAATATGACGAGGAATGTACTTAAAAATTTGGAAACATTTACATTGAAAGATAGCCCAGACTGGCACCACCACTAAGAATTTTAAGGCTCTATATATAGCAGTACTTACCACTTGGAACTACTTCAGGCCAGAAAAGAAAGGCTTAGTATTGTTCGCAGTCTGCAGAAAATATTGCAAATCTTTCAAAAATGGTGTAAAATAGGAAGACTATTAACAGAGTTGAACAATGCAGTGGCAAAACCTTTCCTCCTTCCTGACCTTTGACAATAAATGTGCCTACAACCAAATACACGTACACCAATATTGCTCCTGTTCTTCTCACCTGTCCTGGGGCAGTGGATTCCTCTCTACGACGCTAGTGTGTGATATTATAAAACAGCCGTATAGCAAATAATAACAACAACAACAAGTGGCCAGGTTTTACAAACAGGCGTGTCTGACGTTACACTCGACGGGCCCGGCCCAGGACATCAGTCAGCTCCGTAACCAAACCAGAAGCTTTCACTGAATACTTCTTGTTTCCTAAAGAGGAATGGCTCTAGGAAATCGTGCATATTTACAGTCCCGTGGAATGGAAAATAAAACACAACCTGAGGTCCCATTCTGTGTGTGCTGACAAAACAGACCATGACTTAACATCCTCGGGGTGGATTTTTTGGACCAAGCATGCTCCCTCCCATAATTAAGCACAGCCAGACAGGCACCATGGACATCAGTTCTTCAGAGCCTCCCAGCTGCACTCTCTCATAGAGATATGAACCAGGCTGGTGTGACCTTTCCAAAACACTGGGGTGTTGACCATTTTGGGGGAACCAATACTGCTGGGTAATTATTAATTGCATCAGAAAATGACAAGACATAGAAAACAAATTGCACAATTAAAGCTACATTTGGCTTCAGCATTAAGGCCCGTACAGGTTAAGAGGTCCTTGAAGATGTACATGTAAAAGGCAAAAATGACATAATCTGCAGGAACAAAGTTTTGCAGGTTCCTAGGTCTCTTTTTAACCTCGTTTTCCAACTTTCTTCCACCTCTGCCGCATTGGTTCTAAAGTGCTTTGGTGCCTCGCTGGGCTCCTTGCGCGAGTGGCCCCCTTCCTGCAGCCAGTAATCATTATTGCTGCCAAACGTAGTGATTTTATTTGAAGACATAATTAATGAATAGTTGACACGTAAGAAAGATGCAGAGGAGAAACCAACAGCGAGAGTCCAGGAGGAACCTTTCAGAAGGGACCTTCCTGTGAAAGGACTTCTTGTTGAGCGCGCTGAGGTTTCTGGAAAAGAAAGCAGTGTGTTTATTAGCGTGCCGGAGGGAGGAGCGCATCCACACGTGTGCGCATACCCAGAGCTTCCACACTGGGAGGGATCCCCGCACTTCAGAATCACCCTTACGGGTACAGCGCTGTGCCCTGCAGACTTCACCTCCCCTCTTTGTAACAGAAAGAAAGGTTCTCCTGGATCAGGCAGAGCTTGCCAGCTGGCACGAGAAAGGTGTAAGGGCACAAATCCCAAGAAATCTCTTCATCCGGCACTCATTCACAAGCCTAACGACCTACCCTTCCCAAATACAAGAACGTGCCCTGGACACCCCAAGAGCAGCAGAGAAGAGCTAAAGTCTATCACCAATGACTCTGATATTCAGAAACGGAGGGCCTCATGTGTGATTCCACCCCACTGACGTCTCAGGAGGACTGGATAATGCTCCTCATGCTGAGGGGAACCAGCTGGGCTCCCTGGAGCAGGTGTAGCAGTTAATGCCTCCCCCACCCTCCCCACAGGAGTCTGCAGTGCAAAGCCCTTTGCCAGCAGTAGGTGAAGCCGGTGTGCTCACTGCTTCCCTCAGGCAGCAACTGGCAACTTATGCAAAAAGCGGGAATTTAGTGCTTTTTTCAGTGGTTTTCTGACCACACACCTGCATCTCTGCAGCAAACGCATTACATACTTGATGAGAAGGGAAACCCCACGCCTTCCTGCCTAGCAGAGACTTACTTATAGCCAGGACCTGGCCCAGCCCCTCCCAACTTCTGCAGCTGCTTTGCAGTTGGGGATGCCAAGAGGTGCTTAACATGCTGAAGTGATGCTTTTTGCCCCATAAAGAGAGTCCTAAGAGGAAGAGACTTCCTCACTGCTCCAAATGGGGTGTGGCTTTGCCTTTCCAGCATATTTAATAGGTTACCTATTGAAATGTCGTTAACTGCACCCCTGCAGCTGATAAGGACGCTCCAGAGGCAGTGGGTTATTTTTAGCTCATTAAGATAATTGATTTGATGAGAGAAAATCGTTACCTGTGTATGTCCTGTTGGGCTCTCTGTAGGGATAAGACGGCTGAATGAATTTCCTTCAGGTGATTCATTTCTTTCCCACACTGAGCACACAGGTTTTCTAACCCTGCAGCAAAGCATTGGATGACGACACGTTCTGAAACACCATCTCTGGTGGTGGTGATCAAACACAAACCAGGTTCACCCAGCAAGTGACTGGCTGTGATAAAATGGCTGGGAGGACACTTTCAGGAGGAAACATGGGGAGAATGAGACAGGGGACAGAATCTTCCACCCCAAAGACACAGGTCAACAGAACAGGCCCTGTGACACTGGCACGGGACCCCTTCTCAGCTCTTGGGAAACAATTTATGCAGCATCCTCGCCAGCTGAGGGGAGGGGAATGGAGTGCTCACACCTGCCCCCATCTCTGAAACATTCAAGGTCACCTTCAACAAAGGCTGAGAAATGGGAATAAGAAATAAAGTCCATTTCCTATCTGTCAATTGGAAAGTCAGTCTATTTTCCAACATGTTTGTGCCAGCTTGTACCTATTGGAATTTCAGGGTGTTATTCCAACATGTTTGTGCCAGGATCTGGGAAAGCCTTGTTGGCACGGATAGCATAATGCAGACAGGGGAGTAAAACTAGGAAATATAAAAGCAGAACATTCTCTGTGTTTGCCTGTGGACTATGAGGCCACAGTATTAACTGGGCTGGGAAACATCCAAGGGCTGGCTCAAGGAATAGGGAAGAATATTAAAGCCTGACCCCATGATACCCAAACACTTGCCATCATCATCTGAGAGCTCCTGCACCGACTCTGGCGTTGAACAGCTGCTCTCTGTATTCTGGCTGTGGTTGGACGGCTGATCACTGGTT